AGTAACTGTGGGTTTTTAATATTTATTCTCTGACAGTCTAGCAAGTCCCCTTGGCTATTTTTCTTCCTCTCCACTTGCCAGCAAAAGCTCTGACCCTTGTTATGTTCTTCCATCACCCGCATCCCTGAGTGGGATAATAAACCCCAGCCCCATGGGCAGGCTCAGCCCCTGCCTGCTGCCAGGCAGGTCACAATTCCACAGCCCACTTGGCACACCATCCTCTTGGATGGGGCCACACAATAGCCGATCCACATGAAACAGGCCCAGATTACTGTTTCCTTGTCCCCATGGGCTGATGAGTGTGCTGGGGTTTGCTGACAGGAAGCCTGTTCTCATGCACTTCTACAGCCTGAATCACTGCCCTGCTCTGCCCAGATAAGTAATCACCACTGACCCAAGCAGTTGGCAAAAAGCATGAGACTCCTGAAGACCATTTCTGGACCAGACCTCTGGCAGCAAAACTCTTCCTGCTTGAACAGATGCAGCTTTTTCCCGTGTTTGGAGATGTGTCATTGGTGAAAGAACGTGCGTGACTACATGTGCACCAAAGAGTCGTGGGCACATCTTGCACACACTCTGTGCACATTGCCTCTCTCCTCCACCACTGCAGGACTCTGCTATGGACGAGGCAAGGGTGCTGTTTTGGTACTAAGACAAACTTCCCTAAATGGGTCACTGTAATAAACTTTAAAGCAGATTCTGGCTGCACTTTATTATGGACTACATGAAGCTTCCAGTGTTCAGCCAGATACCTGAAGAGGCCACCTCTTCCCTTCCCCACCTTGTTCTCCCAGACACAAGTACCCCAGGACAAAAGCAGATGCCTCTAGAGCCTGCTCAGGACACGGTTCTTTCAGCATGTCCCCATTATACTCCACTTGCTGCATGTGTTTTTACTCCTCTGTTTGCTGGATATCTTCCTGAAACTATTAACATTCCTGCATGTGTCAGAGATCTTTTCCATTTTATTTATATAAATTAATTCCTTTTAGATAGGTAATGCATCTGTAAATAAAAGCAAATTGTATTGTTACATGAGTATCAGCCTTCAAAATTAGCCTAAATGCAATGCAGGAAAAAGGTAAGACTCTATAAGAGTGCAGCATGTGAAGTAATTCAAATAAAAATATCAACATAGAAACACCAAAAATTAACAAACACAGATGGAGAACAAACTCCTTTAAAGGCATTGAAACTGAGACTCATCCACAAAAGCTGGAGTTAACAGAGATTTCTCACACAACGCGTGGTTCCAGAGAGAAACTCAAGTTACATGGCCATATCATTAAAGAAAAAAATCAGTCCTTACAAGAGGGAGGGAGCAGAAGAACTCCAGTGGAGGGAGCAGGGGAACTACAAGCTGGAGACAATGCATCCAAGAATTTATCTGAGGACATGGCAACAAAAAAACTGTCACCACAAAGTAAGTAGAGGCACATGAGAGATTTTCCCTGCACACCTATGCTCCTATCGATATTAGATACAGCCTTGCCAGCTCACTTTCACTGAGAAGTGAGCTACCTCACTCCTAAATTCAGATCAGGAACCTAGCCCATGTCTACGAACTAGCAGACCTGCTAATAAATCCAAAGCTTAGGTAATTTTACAGCAACTTGTTTAGTAGTTTTGCATTTAGACATTCACACAAATCAATGGCACAAGGAAATTTTATGTCCCTAGGGACGTGGGGCTGGGGAAGTGGGTGGGTTTCACAAGGAAGGTGAAAAGGAATGGGCACAAAGGATGGGGTCACCTCTATTTGAGATCAAACATATCCTCTCCGTCTTACCACAGTGTATCAAGAGATACAGTGCACAGCTTATATCCAGGATCATGCTTTACTTTATAAAGACAGTACTTATAAACAGAAAACCAGCCCTGTGTGCTGGAAGAAAGGCAAAAATTAGTGAAGTCTAAACTCCTGCACATTCATTTTCATCCAAAATTATTCAACACTCCCCTGCTTCCTTCCTCTTGCAGATCAGATGTGTAAAAGCAATTAAGACTTCCTGAAAATAAAAGCAAAAGCACAACAGGAGAGATACAGTCCCTAAAGGCAAGCAAAAGCCTGGGGCTCTTCGTGAGCCAAGCTATAAAACAAAAAAAATCTCCGGACAAGAAAGCAAATGCATGGAGGATGTTAGGAGGAGGTGTAAGGTCATGGGAGAGAGAAGCAGGCAGCAAAGGCAGCAAGCCATGAAGTCAAATGGATATGAGCTTTTCTGGGCAGTATGCTAGTTACAAGAAAGTTTTACATTAAAAGCAAAGACACCACCCCCCACTGTTTAAATCCTCCTGTGTCCACAGGATTTAAAAACACATTTTGTAAACAGAAATATCTGTAGCTCTTAAAGTATTGATGCTGGCATAAATTCCAATCACTAGAAGAAAGCAAAAAATAACCAAACAGGAAAAGCAAAGAAAAAATGAAACCCCTCGCAGTTCAAACCCAACTGTTTCAGACAACAGAGTCCATGCCCAGACTTGGAAGACACTGACTACAAGAAGATTCACTTCAGAATTGTGCTGTGCTCATTTGGTAGAATTAAGAAAGTCTTTGTATTCTCTTACTTTAGGACATAATTAGCCATAGTAACATTTTAGAAAGCCTTTCATGCTCTTTTGTTTTAGAATAAAGTGTTTGGTTTAGTTCAGTGATGTTCTAAGCGAGCATCCCAGAGCATTAACCCCGATTGTAATCTTATGCCCATTGTTTCTGAAAATCCTGGATTGCATAATCTTTCCGTGATTATGAAATATGCTACTTCTGCATCAAACTCCATTAGACATAGAGTTGCTCATGTAATGATGAAAATTCTCCAGAAGTTAGCCTTGGCTAAGTTAGTACTGCTCTCTGAGGCCAGCAGTGACAAACCCAGGAGTGTAAATAAGGCTGCTTTTCTAAGGAATAAGTACTCTGAAACTTCAGTTGTATCAGGTCATACACTGAAACCTAGACAAAACTAGTTGGCTCAGCAGGCTTTCTGCTCAGCAGCGTGAAGCTAAGCAGTGCATGAAAACCAAGATGATCTAAGAGACAGACAAAAATACTGGCAGCAGACATTCAAACTCAAAAGTATTGGCCTCATTACTCAGCAGGACTAATCAATCTTAAAACAGCACTTCTAAAATATAAACTACAATATTACATCATAATTTCTTTGACAGCTTGAAGTGGGCAGCACAAGTCCACTGCAACCTTAGATGGACTGTTCTGTTACTGAGCACCCACTGGGCTGCAGAAACTCTCCCCCAGCCAGAGAGTGGTGGGGTAACCTCCACCCTCCTCCACGCTCCCAAAGCTCACTCAACCAACCTGAATAACTCATGACTCTGGGAATGGACATTACTAATCTATAATTGGGGCAACTCAGGGTAGACTGAGCCCTAGAGCACAAATCTCTCAGAAACTTAGATACGTGACTGGTTTGAAACTTTCTGTCTGAGTGAAGCATTTTCCACATGTGTTGTCTTTTAACAGCTGAAGGAATTAGGGCATAGGAATGGGCAGCATGGGAATTGTAATTCTGTTTACTTTTCAAATATCCTGTTAGAATACTGTTTGGAGAATAAATCTACACCATACATATGCACATTTGTTTCTGTTCATGTTTTGATAGTCTTAAAAATCACTATTTTTAAAAAATCTTATTTCACAGAAGATTATGTTAGTCAAATGTCTGTTCCCATTTTTGGATTGTCACTCTTCATGTTCAAGCTCTGAGTTTAAAAGACCTAAATAAAAGAGTAGTTTAGAATTAAATAGCGAGGCAACAGTGAAATGACTATTTACTCTTAAAAAAGGGTAAACAAAATAATCATTGAAAAGTCCAGGAAAATTCACTAGAATAACTGCATTTTTGTGAAATGCTGAAAAAATAATTTCTGCAAAGTAGAAGAAAACTGAAAGATATAAAGGATGAATATGACACTATTTTGCTCAGAGCCACCCTTCTAAGTTGTCAGACTGCGAAGTACAACACGTACATGCGAAGGGTACAATTAGTATTTTGTAACAAAAATGCCTAATAAACATTATGACTAAGAACAGTTCATGCTACAAAAAGAGTGCTTAATTTTGTTGTTGTTGTTGGCTCTATTTATAAATGTCATCCTTTGTATACAGGATACATGAATTCCTTTACTTATCCTTTACTTTTGAGCAGAGAGTAGCACATTTTCTGGTAAATAACCCTTCTACAGGAACACCATAAAACCACTTCATATTTTACTTTTGTCTTGCCAGGAGGTATAAGAGGCTGCTATTAACAACTACCTGAACTTGCAATAATCCCATATACTTACTGGCTCAAGACTTACCTACACTGAGCATATGCCCTGCTCTCTGCTGTCAGTATGCCAAACATTAACACAGAGCAGCAGAAAAAACCTTTCACTATCTTTGCAGTAGATTTGATAGAAGAGCAAAGCAACTTGGACATTAGCTTAAATTAGAACTCATTTCATCTGTTTACAAGCAAGTTTTATATAGCCTTAAAAAAATTTTGATATATAAGTTCTATGTGTTATTTTCAAGTAACCTTCAGCAGAATATCTTATCTATTTCAGAATACTGCTGGTAAAAGATAAACTGTTGAATAAATATTCACAAATCACCTCACAATTCTAAGAAGAGTGACTTTATTAAAATCACTGTTTTGCGTGACCACTGAGATTTAGAATTCCATTTCATTTAGTCATTTAAAGTTATTATCTTACTATTGATCTTAGCAATTATCTGTACCATGGGAGCATCTACACTGTAGTTCTGGACTTGAGCCTCCATGTATCTGAAGCTTCTTCATCATCCAGACTGCTTGAGTGTTGGTTTGCACTGAATGGTGAATGGAGGGAGACAGTCACCTCATCACATGGGAAACTCAGATGTGAAGTCAATGCATATGCTTAAAACCCCTCTTCCCTGCAGGATATGTTCCCATGGGATTCTTCCAAGAAGACCCCTAAATGGGCTAAGTTACCTCTTCAGAAATCCATGATTATAATCTTACTTGCTTAGCTCCTTCTTCATAGGCTTCCTGTTCTTCAGCAGATGAATATCCCCACCCAGCTTGGTGTCATCAGCAAACTGACTGAGGGTGCACTCAATCCCTTTGTCCAGATCATTAATAAAAACATTAAATAAGACTGGTCCCAATACTGATCCCTGGGGAACATGACTAGTGACCAGTTGCCATTTGGATGTAATTCCATTCACCACCACTCTCTGAGCCTGTCTGGCCAGCCAGTTTTTACCCAGGGAAGAGTGCACCTGTACAAGCCATGGGCTGCCAGTTTCTTCAGCAGAATGCCATGGGAAACACTGCCAAAAGCTTTACAAAACAACAGACACCTACAGCCTTTTCATTATCCACCAAATGTTTCACCCTATCATAGAAGGTGATCAGGTTGGTCAAGCAGGACCTGCCTTTCCTAAACCCATGCTAGCTGGGTTATTTATTATAAATCAATGTTTCAGGAACAGGAAGAGAAAACCACGTTATCTGTAATGAAATACATCTTTTGGGAAGATAAACACTAAATAGCACCAGCTAGGTCAGATGCCTTGCCAGTCCGTCTACAGCAGGTGTACTATTGTAAATCCCTCTCAAACTAGGAACACATTTCTAAATGAACATGAAAATCTAAAATGTCTAAATGGTGTATTTAGTATAAATCAATAAAAAACTTTTCTGTGTTCTCTCAATTTTATTTTTTTAATGAGTCACAGTATTAGTTTGAAAGACAAATTGTAAAAGCTCAGGAGTACAATTCCCAATGCAAAACAAACCCATTACAAGAAGCTGGCATTTCAAAGCATGTGCAAAATGCAGCCTTAATTTCTGGAATGTACTGAGCCCAGTTACTTGCATTTTGCTTTTTCAGAGAAAACAATGGGCAAGGAAAAGAGAAAAATGAGGACAGAAAATCAGAATATCAGTAGAGAAGGAAATATAATGGGACAGAAAATGAGATTATACTTAGCCTCCAAAAGCTAAGAGATATTACAGACTGGATTATTTTTAATTTTTACCTGTCTCGATCTCAACACAGAGTATGCAACTTTCATATGGCTGCTAAAAAATTCCTAGACAGCCCCAAAATACCTCTGCATCTCTTTATTTTTATATCTTGTGATATTAAAACAAATACTGAGATTTAAGTGAAAAAAAATTCTGTGATTGAGTCAGCGACCCAACAAATATGAGAGATGGAAATCTGTGATGCTGACCAAGGAATATTTGCAGAAACTGGTTTTCTTATCCTTCCTTGAAAACTACAAATATCATTGTAATGAAAAGCAACTTCCAAACTGTAGATGAAAATCCTGAATGCAAACTTTACCCTGTCTTCCCCAACACAATGCAAGTAATAGCCCATACATCCAGAGAAAGGCTCAGTCTTCTCATTCATGCTGGACAATATATTTTCCATTCTCCCACTTCTCTTCCTTCACAGAAAAGAAAGACTTTCTGTTCCTATTCACATTTGTTTTTTGTTTTTCTATCCCCATAACTCCTCTATCTTTTTTTATCCCAAGAGAAGTCTGTAGTTATGTGCAAACAAGACTGATGACATCAAGCCTTTAAGTACTGTAAAATTACATTAAAGTCTTAAAGTGACCATAAGTCACATGTGTCATAATGAAGATCAAATTCTTTAGACTCTTCATCCTTTTCAACCTGTTATTTAACAGAGTAAATATTTCAGTAAGAATTTTACAGTAATGGCCAATTTCCTGAAAAAAAAAAAAAAAAAAAAAAGGTGTGATTGAGTGTTTCCTGCTTAATTGTCGTTTTGTAAAATGGAAAACACAAGCAGTTTTATGATTCATCAAAATCATAAAACAAATTACAAAAGTTATAGCCTTCATGTAGAAATACCTAACCTAAATCAGCTACCAGAGGATATATAGCAATATTTTTAAACTTAGTGTTTTTTTTCATTACCTCCCAGAAAAATAACTTCCTAACTTACTGCTTATTCCAACAGAATATGCCTTGGGTTTTTTTTTTTTTTTAGTTCAAAATATCAAAATCTCAACTGCTCAGCTGAGGAACACAGAATATTTAAACTGTGACGAATTAGAGGCCAAGGAATAAGGAGATAAGAAGTTATGCTTCAGTAAATAGTATTTAAAATCAGGAAACAAACAGGAGAGACAAAAGCAGCACAAAATGCAGAGAATGACTAAAAACATGAGAGAAAGGAGCTACATAGACAGCATAAACCTGTCTTTTTCAAATGCAGATAACATACAAATATACTCTCATTAAAGACAAAGAAACTATAAACCAAACCATTGATTCAAGACTCAAGATACAAAAAGACAACTACTCAAATCTACAAGGCATTTGTGATACAAAAGGAAGACTATACATAAAACCATATATAAAACAATCAAGGACAGTAAGAACAGGGCAGTAGTTTTACTTCATGTAACTGAAGGAAGATGTCATCAGATTCTGGCTCTGTTCAAGTCAGTCCATGTTTCCCCAGCAGAGCTGAGCCTTGGGAACTGCCTACCTGGGGGGAAATCGATGAGCTGTTTGCATTGCTGGATGCTGTCACAGCAAACACAAGTTTGTTTTAGTAGGCTGATTATGGGAGAACTAAGAAGAAACAACAAAAGCTATTTCTTTTGCCTCAGTACTGGCATGTCTGGTAAAAATCCACAAACAAACAAATCAAAACAACACCCCTCAAACACCCAAAAACAAACCCACCCACACCAAAAGTGAACCCTGACATGTATAAACACAGTGCAAAAAATAATTTCACAGCTGTTTGAAGGAAGAGGGTGTTTCCATCCAAATTAAGGGAGATCAGACAGGTTGAAACATAGGAATGCACATGAGCAGCAGTGCCAAGAGGTTTTTCACGGGGGGATTTTACAACGGAAAATCTTCTCACGCTACTGAGCTGTGGCCAGCTCAAACGTGTCCAGTGTTATGTAGGGTTGTCCTGCTACATTTTGTTGAAAAGGAAGTAAGACACTTGACTGGCTTTTGTGTTCATGCATACTGTGCTCTGGTAAGCTCTCAGAAAACAGAAATTCCCTTGTTTTAACAGAATTTTTAAGGTATGGATTGAACAGTGTTTTCTCACTGAAATTTTCCAGCTTTAAAACTTCATCATCATTTTCTTCGTTTTTGACTGAATTCTGTTGGGATCCACACAAATCATTTGCCAGCATTTCTATGGGTTGGATTTCCTTCACTGGTATCAAAGTTGACTTCATTTGGCTTCTGGTAAATTGATCAGTGATTACATAAGGCATGGATGGCGAAAAGCATTTAGCGGCTTCATTTTCTTGTTTATACAGTGTCTTTTTATCTCCATTGATCATGTCTTCTGCATTAATATCAACACATTCAGAAACATGGTTTTCACAATTCACTAGTAGTGATCCTTCCTGACTTTCTTCAGGAAAACAATTTTCCAAAACACTTATGTCTTCAAAGTCTAAAGTTTTAGCCTCAGATGCCAATCTCTTCAAAAGTGAATTATTCTGTCAGTATCAAGAGATAAATTGGACAGTTATATACAGAGAGATAATGTATTAGTTTATGTTTTAAAATATAAATTATTGCCATTTGAGCTCTATTTGACTCGTAATTTTAGAAGTGCACTAATAAAGAGTTCATGTGCATTTCAGCAGGGATGCAGTTATATGTCAATGAGTACTAAAAATGACAATGTTATTCTGTTCATTTGTGAAACATTTTCATGGTAGGTCTTCTGTGCTTAGTGAAATAAGGAGTTTCCATGAACGCTCAGAATCAGGTTTGGACTGAGTTCGTCTTGTCTGCTCTAACCAGTCACTTATGGGGAAAAAACTTTAAATCTCATTCTCCACAGACTACACTTTCTATGTAAAACTGATCAACTCCACTTCATTCAAATATACATAAAACTTTAATAAGGCATAAATAAAAAGATGGAAATATTAGTACAATAATATACTAAATCTTACTATATGTGGCAACACATTTTTATGGAGAAGGGAGGAAGTATCCAAATGTGGGAACCTGACTCAGTAGACACAATAAGCTGTGCAAATTTAACTGACTTTGTTAAATCAACCATGTCGGCCAATCGCTTAGGAACTTCAAAGCATTATTTCTTGTTATCATATGAGAATTAAAAGAATACACTTTATGAAGATGCATGTTCTCTCTTATGAAGAGCATTTTATAGCACTTAAAAAGAAGAATGAAATTCAATATACTTTTTTTTTAAGTTATAAAATTACTGTCAGAGAAGGACTTCTTTTCTCTCCATTTGATTCCTTCTTTAATGTATAAAATTGCAATTATTACCATCGATGCAGCAAGAGGCCATTCCACTGCAATGCTCTCTGCGGGATTTGGTATATCAGGCCAGCAAACTTTCTTAAACCTATCATGGAGACAGTAATTTTAGTCAAATTGTGAAAGAAATAAATTATTAAAAATAAAATGAACAAACCTCCATAAAGTGCAAATACTGCTAAAATACCAAACTTTCACAAAGGAGGTCTTTTCTATATTAACACAGGTTTTTTCAATAAAATTGTTTTCCCATACACTGATTTTTATTACAAAAGATCTCAACAAGATCTCTTGGGTTACAGAGACATTGTAGAAAAATTAATAACTCACAGAAGTAATTTTTAATTACATTATATATTTCTATGTATATAATTACGTATATACTTCTTATGTTTCTCATAGTATAATATATGAAATAATAGCATGTCAAAATAAGGCTGTATACAAAATCTGTTGTGATCACGTTTCAGGGTGTTTCCTCAGTGAAAAGCCGCTTCAGGTAAACTTTGGCCAAGGAAAGTATCCCAAGCACTGCATCACACTAGAGCTAAGCTGGGTTCCAATGTTAGCTGCAGATAAATGATGCTCACCCACTGAATCCCTCACTGATACTGAGTATATACGTAAGGGAATGAAAAACAGTCCATAGCTTGACTTTTCACATTACAGTTTGATTACACAAGAATATAAACATTCAACTGCATCTCAAATATTGTCCAGTACCAAAATACAGTTTCTTATTATTGCAAAAATACAGAATCCACAACACAGAAGAAGATATAAAAGAGCTGGAAATTTTACTTATTTATTCAGCCATACTTGGCTGAATAACACAATATTGGTTCTAATAGCTTAGAACACCCCAAAATAGTTAAGATTTTTAACTTTCTCATTAAGCTTCAGCCAAACAACCCAGTCACTTTATGTGAAAGAAAAACATATTTTATAACCTTAAAAAAACTCACATTCATCATTGGGATGTTATTACATCCCCATGCTCTGAGAAAGCAATTTCAAATCTGGCAGGGGACACCTGTGACAGTATACTATGGATCACATACGGATACGGATCCATAATCATGGATCAAGCATCCAAACGCTTTCACACAAAGCATGACTTTTTTACAGGTCAAGGGAAGCATCACAAAGTAACAAAAGCAATATTATTATAGCTAAGATAAGCAATTATATGAAATAGGTTCTATTGCCATACTAGCAGATACATTAAAAATGCCTAGGAAACTTTATTTTTTGGCATTATTAATTTTTCAGTAACTGACTTTAGGTATGCTTCCTTATGGCAAATGGCATATAGCATTTTCCATAAAATGATACAGGTGATATGTAAATCTGTTTCTCCCGTTTATTTTGTTCTGATTTACTGAACTTTCTAAAAATTAGTAGTTATTTTTGGACTACAGCACATAAATTACAGTTAAAGTGTAACTGTATGCTTATTTATTTGTTACTCTAATTGCTTATTTTCTTAATTTGACACTGGTTTTGAGCCAAACAAAAGCATTTGTAAGACACATAAAAATTTGCCTTTTACAAGGTGAAATTAACAGGTTGAATTTGGTTTTAGACAGTAGAAAATGTACTTACGTGTGTTTTTTCAAAACACATGTTACCCAAAGGCCTAACAGGCAGAACATGCTTATTCCAACAAGTAGAGCAATGAAAACAACATCTTCTTTATCTTTAGAGGAAAAAAACACACAAATGGAAAAAACAAAACAACAATCAGTCCACAGATGTCATTTCTTCATGTATTCCTTGGAGACAGTTAATTTTCAACATCCAGGTCACCTAATTAGCACATTTCTAAAGAGCCAAAATTACTCAGAACACTGTATGATGTGCACTGTATGATGTGTCAAAAGATGAGTATTTTGAATCCAACAAGCCAGTTACTCAGCCAGAAAACTAGGTCATGATGAGACTTCTCAGGATTTCTCAGGAACATGTGTATTGCATTTTAAAATTTCCTTTATTTAATAGAATCGCACAGTAATTTAGATGAGAGGGGACATCTGTAGGTCACCTCACCCAACTTTAAAACTAATATTAAACTGCCTAGGGTCCTACCAAGACAATCTTCAAGAGCATCCTAGGATGAAGACTCTACCACTGCTTTGGGCACCCGTTACTTTACAGTCGCCTGACACTGACATATAGTGCCACTTCTATCAGTTACAACAAAATAAATAGCGAGTAAGTGCAGGAAATAGATTTTAAATCACAAAAAATACAGTAACTCTGACTGAAACACTGCACAGATTTCTGAGCTAGCTTCCAAGTACCAGAGGCAGGTACTGACAGCAAGAGACCTGACCTCAGCACACTCTAACACACCTTGTATTTGACTAGCAAATCAGCAGATTAATTTACAGGCAAAAAAATTAATTAGCTTTGAGTCCCATGACAAGTTTAGGGACAGTTCATGCACTTTTTTCTATTTTAGTTTGGCCACCACTATGACAAGTTAGCAATGTACTGAAAACATTCTTCCAGAAGATGAAATGTGGAAATCTCTGAACTTCTGATCTGCTCCCATCACACCAACCTCCTTAGTAATATCTGGCTAGAACAAATAGCTAGAAATAGGAAAAGGTATTTCCCCACACATACTGGCCATAACCTGTGCACTCATTTATCAGTTAAGCTTATATACCACAAAAAGTACAACACAACGCCTGGTTATTCTAAACCTAATATCTCAGATGGAAAAGTCTACTTTTTAATAAACTCTTAGGCATTCCGTTCCATAACTGACAGTACACAAACTGCTGCTTCCACAAACATCCACAGCACTCCACAGCTTTACTGACTACTAGGTAAAGATTTTGAGGTGTGACTTCTAATCTTGAGCTTTTAGTCTGTGAGACAGTTAGTGAAATTGCGTTAAATTCAGCTACTGCTGGCAATTCTTCCTTGTTTTGTTCAATAGTACTTAAAAAAAAAAAAAGCTAAAACTTGCCTAAACAACAATGTCCCTTGTTCCGTATTTCTTATTCCCAAACCCATTTTTAAAATAGTAATAACTAACCTGGAATATTACTTACCCAGTTTCAAAGTTTTGAAGGTCTTTGGCTCTCCAGTGGTTCCACCAGCTCGATTGCTTGCCATGATATAGACAGTATACTGTGTATTACTCTGTAACGACTTCAGTCTGTATTGTAGAACATCAGAGTTCACTGTTTCATCTTTTTAGGAGAAGATTTATGTCAATAAACACACAAAAAAGTGATCTTGTTAATTCTTTTATGGGGAAAACTTAATTTACTTAAAAATGTTTTCAATATTACTTAAAATTTAAAGCAAAGACACAAACCATTATGTATTTATTTTTCAAAAATAAATACAAATATTTTTTCTAATATTAAAGACAGGTGAATTATGATCTCCTGTAGTTTATTTTATCACTGAAATCAGTGCTTTGAGAACTTTGTTTCCTTAAAATAGTTGGCTCAGAAATTAGGAACTTAAAATAGTTTCTGTAGCTTGTGAAATTTACCTATATTTCTAGTACGTGCAGTTAGACATTGCATCTTTTTGGCTGATCAATCTATCAGCCCTGGGATATTACCCCAATTAAGGCAAAGGAAAGCCAAAATCAACAGGAATTTTTTTCCAAGTTTCAAAATGGTTTTATGAATAGAATTCAACGTTTCCAATACCTTGTCCAATACTGAAATTAGCTTCACCTTTACATTTTTTTAAGCAGAGTATATATTCTACCATCCTATGTCTACTAACAGTACCAAAAGCATCTTCCTACTATGAAATTACAGTCACTAAAACATTTTCTGGTGCATAAAGTCTAAGCCACCTCATGTCATCATTCAGTTCAGTCAAGAAATACTCAGGAAACAGCTATGCTGCAATATGCCCAGAGTTAAAATAAATTGAGTTTCTCTTAAATCAAGGAGGGAAAAGTGAAGTTTTAGAGTTAAAGGCCACCAGTGAATTCACATTGGCACAAATCCCATGTTCTATTCTTATCAAGAAGATGTGACATCAGCGAAGCCTCAAAAACATCGGTACGGTATGTTTCAGTACAGTATGTTTCTGTCATTTAAATTTAACTCCCCTGAGTTCATATTTAGAACTAATTTTCTAAAGAAACTAAGCTAAACCCCTAAAATGGACACAGTTTGCTTTACATCAGAAGTAATATGGACAAATATGGCTCTGTAACATGAGGCTGCACATCACAAGGATGACCCTGCACAAAGCAGTCAGCATTAAATTACTCAGAAACCAATGTGGCAGGAAAAATTGCATGTAGAGGACTGAATCTGAAAAAAATAATTAGCTTTCTCTTTCAAATTTAAAAATTACCAAGAATACTCATGCCCTGGCTCTGAAGTGGATATCCAGAAGAAACAGAAGACATTGCAAGATTTGAAAGTCTGAGAAATTTTCAAAAGAGATTGTGTTAGGTGCTTGCTAACAGTGATGTCTCATAAAATAGCAGGAAAAAAAACATTTCTGAAGCACTGAATGTTCCAACAGCATTCTTCATAAACTATATAGGAAGATAAATTTAGGTTACCAAAACCCTTTTCATAAAAGATTCTGCTAAGATTTAAACTGTTCTGAAGAAGTTCTGAACAGATAGCATTACACTGTCAGATTGTATGGATATGGTTCCTGAGGTAGAGATTAGGAATATGCTCAAAGTTATGCTATCAGCCTCCAGACAAGAAAAGCAACACCAAGCACAGAAAACCAAGAAACTTATCTAAAAACTGTGTCCAGAGAAACTATTTCTGGCATCTTATTTTAGCTTCTCGACTGTTATTTCCTAATTTGCTTTTAATAAAAAATTGACTGTAAAAACATTTTTAACAGAAAATATCCACCATACTGTTCCAGAGGTTGAAGGGTTGCAGAAGCTGAAGGTATGTCCTTCCAAGGACATGAATGGAATTTATAAACCCACTGAACCTTCATGATCCATGAATTTGCACAAGACCTGTGACTCTCCAATGTTATTTTAGCTCCTCTACTCCTGTCATTATTTTTCAATTGAGTTCAAAGGTGTTTCACGATGGAAGACAGAGTGAAGATGGAGAGACACTACTACATACGTAAAATGGTAAAACAGCAAGTATCTGACTAGTAATACTCATTAATTTGGCGTAATCTGGCAAATTTCTTTTTTTTTTTTTTTTTTTTTACTGTTAACGGCAAACAATCTGCCAAATGTTCCTCATATGTGGGTTTTCATCCTGGTCTGGAAGAGAAGAGGAATGACAGTGCTGACATACACTGACTAAATTTATCACCTAGAGATCCCTCAGATTTACATCTGAGAAGCAGTACAGTGTAGTCAACAGTCAAGACTGTATTACCATGGGTAGTATAACACTATCAGTAAACTGAGAGTAAATAATGGCCAGCCTTCGCGAGCGAAGATCCGGGGAAGGTCTTTACACTTTCCAGCCTGCGCATTGGATTTTTTAGGTGAGACACAGTGTGCGCGGAACTGAGCCCACCCTTTAATCCTAAGGTTCATCTGCCGGGGCCAAGCGAGCTTGGACGGTGGCAGCGAGGTCCTCAGGACGTAGATGGGTTGCCTTTAAGGGCTAACGAGCCCCACCTGCCCGGGAGTGGCCCTGACCGGGAATCGAACCCGGGTCTCCGCGGTGACAGCGCCGCGCCTTTACCTCTAGACCACCAGGGGCTCCACTGAGAGTAAATAGTCTTGTACAAAACAGAGGACACATGTACTGTATTAAAGTACTAAAGCAGGGACTATTCACCAGAAGACCACATCATTTCCATTGAAACTAAACATTTTTGCAATCTTTATGTAAGCTACATTTTAGTACCAGTATTTTCAGACATATTTACATATGATATACAATATGATATACAATAACAAAGACTTGCTAGTAACGATGACAATAACTATCTGCAGACAGCACATTGTCATAATTCTGTTGAAAACATCACTATTTAGTGTATACTTACTCAATTCTTTTCCATCCTCAGGTTTATAAAATATTGTATAGTTAGTGATACATCCATTTCTTTTATCCTTTGAAATCTCATTCCATTTTATAGTAACTTCATTTTTTCCCAGCATGCCTGTGTCAGCCACAGGTCCTTCTGATGGTTCTACACAGAAGCATCAGAAGATAGAAAAAGTGTAAGAGTCAATATACCACAATGTTATCCATCTCTGTTACTTCACACATACTAGTAAAATTAGAGGCAACAAATGCACAAGAAAATGTGTCATCTTAGTGCTCTGAAGTACTCCTTAACTTTAATCACTCTATTTAATATGGGATTTCTTATGATAAAACCTCCCCTCATCTATTCTGGTGTTAGCATAGTTCTAAGTGCTATTGCCTTTCCTCACAAGATCAGAGACAGATCAAGGGTAAAGCAACGTTACGTTCTCATGGAGGAACCAGGTGCAAGGTCACTGTGCATGCAGGACATCTCTGGCTGAGCTGAGATTTAACTCAGCACACCCAGTCTTGCACATTACATTAGACAGAGCCTTTCTACTTACACAATACAACCTCAAACGCATTGCTCATAACTCTTAAGGAAGAGTTTTCTGCATTTCAGCTGTAAAACAAATAACTTCCTTCCCATTCTCTGACAACCTTGAGTGCTGTCACAGCTACCTATAAACAGGAAAGCATTCAAAGTACAGCTCTAATTGTGCTAGTAAGTATTACTCAAACATAAAATACTCCACTTCCTCTTCCCAGTAATTAATGCTGTTTAGTAGAGCATTGTCCTGTATATGCACACACACAAATCAACATTTTCATATGAAATCTTAAAATTACCAGTAAACTACATTCTTACATCTGTGAGTATAAATTCACATTAAACTTCTACAAATAAAGAAACATTCCTCCTCTTTCCTCCCAACACTATTTAATCTACGGTTTCTATCTAACTACACACGTCATGGCTTCCTACTGTTTTTCACAAGCAGACTGCAAATATTTTGTTACATTATAAGATTTAACAAAAAGCAAGATTTTCAAACCATTAATATTATTTTGTGAGTAGAATTTCATCATACATTAGCACTAACAAATGCAGTCAAGCATTCAAATCAAGCATACATACTTCTTTCTTGAACATGAGTTTGTATGGTATATGGAGCTGCTACTTTATTTCCATAAAGAGGATACACTGAGATGTTATAGCATACAAATGGTTTAAAGTTTTCTGTAAAGGAAAAAAAGGAATATTTACATACAATTCTCTGTGTGAGATTAATACAATGAAAATAGATTAAATCCCAAAGAAGTTCTAAATATAGTGTTACAGATTATTCCTTCAACTCTTTAGCAAGTACAACATGTATTTATTACTTTGAATGTTCATTATTGCCCTTAACACACTTTTTTGCTAGTAGTATTCATAAGAGCATGTGGTTTCTGACTCATTTTTCACTAGAAATACTTTGAATGGATCATCAGATTTCAGCCTTATATGACTTCTCTATATGAACTCATCCATCTCAAAAGAGTTTATGGTTTTGGAGGAGGTTTCTATTTTCAAATAACTAGTATAAAATTGCACTTATGCTAATATTTTTAATTTCACATTTCTTTATGTGTACTGCTCTGCAGAAGACAGTTTCATCTCATGCATCAAATAGTTTAAAAGGTGCAGTGCAACCCCAGCTCTTAATACTTAGAACCTAAGGGAACAGCGTGAAGTTGTGTCAGGCAAATTAGGAGAAGGTTTTTCACCCAGAGGGTGGTTGAGCATTGGAACAGGCATCAACATTCACAGCTTTGCCTTTGTACATATCTCTTGAGCTCTGTACCCTTTTTGGTTCGTCATTGAAACTACAAAGGCATAGTCAAAACATTAGCAGTTACAGAGATTTTAAAAAGTCAGCCTCTAGAAAGAAACCTGAGAAGATCCTCCTCCATTTGTCAGTGCTTCATAAGGTCACTGAAAATCCTTAAAAATGCCTTAGATCATACTACAAATGTGGTTATATAACATCTAACATGCCAGATTGATCAATCACTCCACTTGCTTATTTCAAAGTAGAATTCTCACTCAAATCCTTTTTCAGGTGTCTTGCTCTCTTCTAAAATACATGATCTTTTCCCATATTTAAATTAATCTTTTTCATTGTAGATTTCTCTGCTAAAATAGCATACAACTGCCATAGGCCTCCCTGCTGGCATAAGATCAAGCCACGGAGGTGCTTAAACACAAAATCTGTAGCCTAATCTTACGTGGGAGCAAACACCACCTTGCGTGTTGCGTGAAAATTTGAAAGAGTTAAAATTGCTATTAAATTACTTGTAAAGATTTCAATAAAGCATGTAATAACACTGCTATGTTTAAAATGGTTTGAAGAAAGCTGGATGAGTTCATTCTTGTTTGTTCTTTCCATAAATATATATACATCTGTACATTATTACAGCTGTAGCCGATAAATAAACGTACTTTTGTTAGTTTTCCAGGTTGTAGAATTCAACACATATTGCCACGACCTAGCAAAAGGATCCATCTCCAAGTCCTCATACCACTCAATTACATATTCTGTTGCTTTTGGTTTAGAGGTTACCCATTCCACAATCACTTCTTCATTTGATGGAGGGGTATTCACTGTTTCAATAATCTGAGCAGCTAAAAATTTAACAGATAATATCAGCAATTCTATTTTCATAAAAACTTCAAAAATACATACAGAATCCAAACACCAGTTTCTCTTTTAGAATCTGAATTTTACCGTTGGTAAAATCTTGCAAACCAATTTACTACCAGTTTTGCAGTTTGTGCAGACAAGCAAGTTTTGATTGAGACAACAAAGGCAACAGAAGAACCATAAAGTAAGTCAGCAAGGTCATGAGTGACAGTGAAGCAAAGGTGCACCACCAGCCTGCAGAACAGACATCATGAAAGTCTGAGTGAAAACCCTACCTGGCAAAGCAGAGGCAAAAAAGACCTGATGAAGCAGAGGGAAAAATAGATGCATCTAGGGGTAGGGAGGGGAAAGCATGTCACAGCATGCAAAAATCAGAAAAACATTTACGGTGGCATACAGAAGTAGGTAGAGAGGTAATCAGAAACCTCCAGGGCAAGATGCAGCACATCTACACATTCATTTTTTTAATAAGAAATGGAATTTGTTTGAGTACTTCCAGGGGGACACTTGCACTTATTTCATGAACAACTGATACAGAAATTATTCAAGTGTTCCAAATGTAGCCTCTCTTCTGGATTATGGTAGGCAGCAGGATGTTGCAATACAAAGCTCACAGAGGTATCAGAATTAAAACATAAGAGACAAAGAGCTCAGCTGTTGTGCTAGAGCAGACCAGCTTACTGACCCTGGCAGTGGGTGGGATGGGGTACTCTGGGAATGCACACGAAATGAGAATAAATACAAAGCTTCTCTCTCTGCTTCCACTGACACATCTGAGAGATTTCTATTTAAAGCATCTTTGAATTATGCTGTTTAATGCTCTGCAATATTGCCCTGTGGTAAATAATTTTATGATCTGGCAAAGCAATGTGACAGAATTGGGCAGCACTCTAGAAATTTATTTGGGAGGTACAAGGTTAGAAAAAAACACAAACCAAACCAAAAAAACCTCAGAAAGTAATACAATAGAAATCATATAGAAATAAGACATCATAAATTCATATCTTAACAACTGTATCTCAAAATAAAATCCCTAACAGAGATTCATGACAGCAAAGCACAACAACAAGGTACAGATATAGGTATAGGTATAGATATAGATGTATGACAGAAGTCCATAACACAAATTTGCTTCCACTATAACAGAACTTAAACAGATGTCATGAAAATAATTTTTTTGTTAATGAGAAAAACATAACATGGCATTAAAAAATCTTACTTTTTTCATCTGTGGATGGAATCCTCATAACAGCTTCAGGAGAATTTCCAGCAGAGTTATAGGCAGTAACAGATACTACATATGCCTCTTCATTTAAAAGTAAAGTGATTTTCTTGTCAGTAGAGTTTTTTATCATTTTAAGCGCAGTCTTGTTTTCTGGAAAATACTGTATTTTGTAGCCTAGAATTTTTCCAGGAGGTGGGAAGCTATTTAATGGCTATTAAAAAAATAAGCAGTAGTAAGTGTTTCACAGTGTTATTTGCACAACCAAAAATATATGCTGTGTTGAAGAGTCCAGACCAAATTACAAAATGATTATACCATATTTAGAAAAGCAACGTACTTTCTTAAGTCCCAGCTTCAGGACAGAGAGTGATAACAATTTCCTTGAAGGAAAAGTTCAAAAGTCCTGAGATTTGAAACACAAAGAGCCTTTGGACAATTTACTAGAAGATTAAAGTGAATTTAACATAGCATTGGTAAACCATATTATTTCAAAGCAGTTGTAAAGACTTTCAATCAGATTTTCCAGTGATCTGAACACAATTAAATGCTTCCTTTCCACAGACATTACAAAACTCTATTCATCTACCATTCAGTAAATAAAAGCCTTTTTAATCCTGCTTTAGTTCAGTGAGGTTTTTTCCAATGACAGCAAACCCTAGCAGTAATATGTCCTACAACTCTAAAATGCTTAAACACAACATCAGTAATAGGATACCAATATGATTATCAATTCACATAAAGAGTATAAAAACAGTATATACCTTCCACATAAGATGCACAGATCTACTTCCAGGTGAGTGTGAAGACTCAATTACTCTCCACAAATCCACTTTTTCTGAAGGAGCTATGTAAGGACAAAAAAATAACTTGAATGTGTTTGTTATATTAAAAAGATAGTCTAATATGGTAAAAACAATCAAAAGGTTTCAAACATACAGACTGAGAGAAACTTATTAAAAATAAGTTTTCTCTTGTATAATGCTGTGCCTTTTTTCCCTAGTAAGTACAGCTTCTCTCTTTCAATAAATTTCCTTCTGCTTTCTTTTATTTGTTAAGTATTAGAGTCTCCTAGAGGAGATTTCATAGTCTTGTTTTATAACTGGAAATTTAGTGTCTCTACTTATGATTAATTGTATTGAACATACTTGCTATACTACATTTCTGCTATTATTCTATTTTGCAATGTTCAATCTGCATCTGCACTCTTAATTTTCTCTCTCTTCACTGTCTACTCACCCATTTTCTTCTTTATCCCTATACTGTTTGAATCACTTTTCAAATCTCCTCCATCACGCTCTTGTCTTTTAGTTTTCCTCTTCTATCTTTTAACAAAATGCACATGTTCTGTTTAAGCAATAGAATTCTAAATGCGATAGACAACAGACTGAAAACACAGTTTTTCTTTATTAAATCCTAGTGCCTCAAAGTATAACTAAAGAAAACTTTTACATGTAGTCAGCCCACCTATCTCTTCTGTGCTTCCATTTTTCTCTCCACTCCATTCACTCCAAAATATTGATTCATTACTGATACACCGAATGGCAACAGAATATTCTGTGGAGTCCCATAGACCTGTGAGATTAAGTGATCCTATTTTCTCTGCAGAATTCATTGAGACAGTGACACATTTCTGAAAGTGGGTACATGAACAAAATTATTTGATAGAAAATTGTATGCAGATATTTGACTTATTAAAAAAATCAAAACAAAAATAACACAAAAGACGCAGTTTTAATATTTCCCACCTCCCCCCTCTGAAACTCAAGATTGTATTTCATTTTTTCTGTGTAGGCCCTTCATTCTTCCAGCAAAACCTCAGGGTTTGAAAAACCTGAGCCAAAACTAGGTTTGTACTGGGTGTCCTGTGGTTTGAATTGTGTACAGTTCACACATGATTCAAGAACAGCTGTGCTGCCATAGGATGTGTTGGATGAATACAGTTGACACTGATGGGAAGCCGCTGCTTGCTGCAAAGCTATTATCATAATAATGTCCCACAACAGCATCCTGGGGGAAGAATTTTGTGAGCCAGCTGGGTACTTCTTTCCCTTCTTGTTTTTCTTCTCTGAGTTACAAGGTCTTCTAGCTCTTAGCCATACAATACCGTGGCTGTAGGCCATTCCAAAGATTATCAGCAAAGGATTAAAATGAAAAGGCAAATGAAACACATAAAAGTTTGGTATCAAGAGTTAAAAAAAAGAAAAGAAGATGGAGCCTTTATATGGTGAAGGAAGATAAAGAGCATGAGAAATAACCGATGCAGCATATTTTTGGAAAAGTAATGACAAAGTGAGTAATTTCTTTGTCTTAAAAGAAGCTCTACTCACTTCTTACTGATGGAAGACAGAAGCTAGATTGCTCTTCCAAAACAAATAAAATAGATATGAAAACCAGGAACTGGAGTTGATGCATCAACTCAATTGGACTGACAACATGAAGCATTGTTGTCATATACATATAATCACCAATATAATATCCAATACATAATGACTAATATAAACCCAACATTAATGTCTTATCTTCCAAACTGCAAAAATTACTCAATAATTACCAACTCTTCCCCACTTAAATTTCAGATTACTGAAACAGAAAGACACCAAAATAAGTGTTCAAGCAAGCTAAATTCTAACAAGGTCAGCAAAGGCAAGTTTTTGAATAAGGAAGATTCCCTCTTGGGAGCTGAATTGAAGTAGTAAAGTCACATAGATTCTCAGCAGGACTAAAAAACTGTGAAGAAATTCTTGTCTTCCACCAGTTGAATCTTCCAATTAAAAATTGAATCAAACTACAACAATACAAAATGCAGACACCCACTCCTATAAACACCATAATGGGAAGCGCACTTTTAAAGAAAGTGCACTGTTTAATGAAACTGAAATTTTTAGTCCATTCTGATCCCAAGAAACTCACTGTCAAAAAAAGAAAACTGCTTCTATGAGAATGAATTCAGGGACCTACAAACCACTCTAAGTGACAGCCTCTTCATTGAACCTATAGCAAAAAGGACTTCAAAACTATTATCAGCCTCCTGCAGAACCTGACATAGAACTGGAAACATCACAGACTAGGTTTTAGTTACTTGCCAAAAGGCTGTTAACAATATTTCATTATAATCAGAAATTTATTAGAAACTCGGTATATGCAGACAGAAAAACAGTTCATCTGTTTTTTAACTCGGTAAAAACAGTTCACACCAAACTGTTTAGACTGTTTTTTGGTAGGACAGCTTAAAAGGCTCAAATTTTTTCGTTGGTTGGTTGGTTGGGATTTTTTTTTTGCACATGTGTGCTGACAGAAAAGCACGTCTTATGTCTTTGCTGATTATGGATAGCTACTGTTTTTTCTCTAGATTGTCTGTGGGAAAATGCAGGTAAGATCTGAGGAAGCAAATGGATGTAGACTGTATTCAGTAGTGGAAAAGCAGACACGTGATTTCTAATGCTGGTGCTGAAAAACAGACACAATACACCATAAAGCTGTAACTTTGCAAAAATGTGAATGTTTTCAACATTGGGGAAGGACCCCATAGCAAGCAAGCATCACAAGGACACCAGTGCCTTTACTCCAAAGAGATAAACATCTTGAGCAGGTCTTTTTAATAACTATTAGTTCCACTTCTAATATCCCAGGTGGATTTGAGCTCCTCTACCCATCCAATCATCCCAAATATTATATCTTGAATCCAAAAATCAGTATGTCGTATCTATGGTACTGACGTTTGCCATGAGAATGTGAGATGAATGCTAATTAGAAACATCTTCAATATTAGGAACTTCTTGAAAGCTCTGAAGACTACCTTGATGAATTCTTCCTTCACAAAATTACACATATAATGTATAAAACAGTAAGATCAAGGCAGACAGCTAAGTTCAATGAACTCAGAAAAGTAAGCCAAGAAACCTGTCCCATTTTTGAATATGACAGAGGAAACAGTAAAACTTCAAACAGAATCCCTTCCATATTGAGGAACATAGGAATAGATCATCTGACATCTACATTTCCATTTAACTGTCAGAAAGACAAACTCAGAAAAATAACTTCCCTTATTTTCCATCTTGCAAATTTCATATTTTAGTTCACTTTAAAATTAATGTAACATTAGTTCCTCTTAATCAGAGTCAACTATTGTGTTTGGAAGTAAGTGCTGTTTTCCACATCAGAATACAAGGGTAAAATAAAATATTTTGACTGACTGCCTGTGTAATCCCTTGGCCTAGGATCATCCCTTAGCCTTTCAAAGAAATATACTGAGAAGTATGGTATGTACCAAAACAGAAAAGGAGCAAAAGAAAGAGAACAATTAATCCTAGACAACAAAACAGTGTTCTTAAAACCATGAATACCTTATTACATACCATTAGAATAAAGTTTTAAGCATTATTTCAAACTAACTGTTGCCTTTTTCCTATTTAAACTTTTATCACATTAGTCACTATTAGTCACAAAGATACTGGCATTCAGAAGAGAAATGATGTAACTTACTGTAGAGTTGGAATACAAGTTTCTGTATTGAACCTGGCAAGTTAAACCTTGTGAAGCGACAATCTTTTCAGGCATTTTCCAGATTACTGTAAGTAACTGCTTTATACCAGTGATCGTTTTAACTAAAAGTATTTCAGGAGGGTCAAATTTCTCTAGAATGAAGAAAAAAAAAACATCAAGAGGGGAAAATGCCTCTATAAATTTCTCTGGCTATGTGCATTCCAAGAAGTTTATCAGTATCTCAATAACACATATCCTATCAGAGTATTCATGTGATGGTCTATTTCACAGTCATAACTCTATGTCTGGGAAGTTGTCTGTAAGAGAAATTGCACACATAACTGATTTTACTTAAATGGGACTTTGAACTACCTGATCTAGTAGAAGGTGTCCTGGCCAGCCAAGCTTTTCTATGATTTTGCTCACAAACCTGCTCTCAAACAAATGTGCAGATTTCTTTCATCTGTATCAGCACTGAAAAATACTACTCAGAGATAACAGCAGGGAAAATAAATAAAGCAGAGTTGGGATGCCAAAGACAAGTCTGAACTGCAGAGGAAGGAAGAATTCAGCTGAAAAGGATTTGAGGGGGAGAGAAGTGTGAAGGGTGAAGTGGGGAAAGAACGGATTAGTATGGAAAGAAATGGCTAGTGCAGAGAATGTGAAGAGTAATGAGGAGCCACAGCAGGTTGGAACACAGGAATAAAGGAACATATGACTGAAAAGCTGATGAGTGCTGCAGCAAAAAGTCAGCTATAAGCATTATTGATCATCTACACCGAAGTGAACAGAGGAAAACAGAGCACAGGGCTGAGGGAGAAGAGGTAGACAAAATATTATTTTTGCTCCTCTGTGCAATTATTATTATTGCACACAGAGCAGGTGTTTTTTAACATGCCTAACCAGAACGTAGAATAGCAGAGTAAATTATGGGTGGCCCTGGAGAAATTATAATATCACTATTCATTTATATCTGGATGTTGCAGTACATTTGGTACCACTCAGAAATAGAAAAGTACAGTCCAAATACCACTTATTTTGAAAAAAAACTTTAGTATATTGCCTTTACTTGTCAATAATTAAAACTTAATAATTTATATGGATACATCAGACATTAGCCTAAAAAAATGTTGCTGCAGTTAGATGTTTCATTGTATGAATGTACAGCACCCTGTCATTTTTCATCAACTCTCTGTAAGATCAAGAAAATTATGAAAACTACTGTTGTAACAAAACCACTTTGAAGAATTTTATACAGAAAGACCATTAATAAAATCTTTATTTAACTCTTCTTTAGTTACCTATTTTTCCCATAGCTATAGGAACACACTTCGACAAGGCTTCACCCAAAACATTTTCAGCTTTCACCTGAAAACAAAAAGAACTACCATATGGAGTATCTGGATGATGAAATGAACATGACTCTCTTTTACTCTCGCAGGTGCTGTCTGTAATATTTGGATTAATCGCCCTAAAAAACATAAGAGAAAAATTATAGGAGTTAGAGATTTTTCTTAGAATAATTCAACTGACTGTTTGGTTATTATTTATTTATATATTTTTGAGGTTGCAGGACTTTTTTACCAGTGAACATCTCTAGATGATTTGTTTGTGCAAATGAATACTCTTTCCTACTTGCATTTACTTATGTAAATGCATATAAATGGCCTGTACAGAGTCAGTTAATTTTAATAGCAATTAGTATTTTCCAGGAGCAAAGCAAAGAGTAAAAAGGCCTTAAAAGGAAATCCACACGCTATGATTATTTTTTATTAAAATCTCAAAGATAAGGGAAATCATATAACTCCATACAGGACTTCCTTTAAAAATACTGTTAGGTTGACTGAGCTAGTAACACATGCCACATGGAACTATTTAATAAAAAGCTTTTATTCATTTTTTAAATACAGAAAAAAGCCAGGATCCACCACTGCCAAACTATATCCCAAGGTAACAGAACTTTGACCAAAAGAACATACTGATATTATATTGTCTTTACAGCATATACTTTCATAATAAGTAGTGTAGAATGCAAAACTAACAAAATACGTTTCATTTTACTGTCCCACAGAGAAATTCTTCAGCTAATGAAAACTCAGATAAGGGGCTTGTGCTAAATATTTCAGATGATGCAGTAAGCAAGCAGATAATTTTGTAACTCAAAATGCAGTTTGGGGTTGGTATTTCATCAACATTTTAAGCTAGTGTAAGCCTGTGCTACTGCAAAAAGCAGCAGTCCAACCTTCTCTTTAATGCGGAGTTGTTGGTTTTCCACCCATGGTTCTCTACCCCTTGTACCAATGCTTTTGTAGTCATATACTAAACTCAGCTGGGCAGTTATCTGGATTAAAATTAATGCTTAGATTTGATTGGAAATAGTTCTGCAGTCCAACTCACTTTACGGTTACTGAAGAATTTGTGCTTGTACAGAAAAGAATAATATTGAAACGCACTTTCAGTAGCTGTTCTAGCTTCTGATTTCACAAACCCAGGTAAGTTATAAGTTATATAAGCAGTAGAAGAAGTAAGAAAGTTCCACATAGAAAAGGTAGAAGCCTAAAATGTTAAACCTAAAATGGAGATAAAACTAAAGAGGTTTTCCTACCCTACAATTTTAATCTAATTAGTAATGCCACTTCAAGGGAACAAGTGCAAATCAATTCTGATATAAACATTCCTCTACTGAATATTGGGTTGAGAATACTGTTAATTTACACAGTACACTAGAAAGGTCGCTGTAACTTTTTTCAACAATTACCAACCTTGGATTAATTTACATTAATGCCACAACTCTGAACTCCATGATGTTTCCAGGTTTTCTTTAAACAGAAGTCAGGATGAGAGGGGAAAGGGGCTGGTTATCACACTCCAGCAACCCAGTTCCCAATACCTCCTATACTTACAGTTTTCGGTAAAGAGTATAGTTTCTTGCTAAACTTGTTTCTCTTCCTGAATTCCAGGTACAGGTAAGATTAGCATCAAAGTAATAAATGCAGGAAATATTTCCTGGAGTGTCTGGAGGAACTACAATGACAAAGGTTTAAAAAAAAAAAAAAAAAAAGAACAAATAAGTAATTTTAATGTACAGCTGATTTTGTTGGTCAAAAAGCAGGTTATAGCAAACTTCATCCAGTGTATTGCATAGCACTTCATTTTACTATTCCTTACTGTCCTCAAAACTCCTCATAAAATCAAAATCAAAACCAGTCTGTGTTTCCCTTGGGAGACAGAGAGATTTTCTCCAGCTACTTCTTGGAAATACTTTACTAGGTGGCCTAAAGGCAGTAACTGATTAACTATCTTGTTACATACACTGTCCTGAACCTCTAAACACACACGCACCCCACCTCCCACCTGCAACACACCTGTAGCTCGATGCCAGTCCAGGCAGTAAAAGAAAAACAAAGAAATAGTACAGAAGTTCCAAAAAAAGAGGCATTCTTTGAAGGATAAAACTCCTCTTGATTCTCTCAGAGAACATCTAATCACATACAGAGTGCAGAAGACAAATTCCTGGGAAACAGATCTAGGTGACCTTGAAAAGATCACTAATTCTGGACTCTCTTTATCTCTTTATACAAAACAGCATAAAGGAGATAATCTTCTGTGATCTCTGTAGTCTGAAGTCATCCATAAAAATGTAACATCCTCAAAGATTTCTTTGTTACAGCCAGATTACTTCACTGGTTAGAAAAAACTGGAGTGGAAAGGAAGAGAACTGTGCCCACTGAAATAAGTTGGATGAAAAAGCCTTCTTTTCAAAACAGTACTTTTGTGGCCCCTCTAATAGAACATTTAAAAGAACTTTCTGTTATTGACAAGTTTATGGCACAATGAACTTCACAGAGAAGCAATACCTTCTGCTGGATTTTATTCTACAGATGTCTTTCTGTATTTATTCCTTTTTTATTAGAATGGGACCTCCAGGCATACATTAGTATAATCTGGACTTAATCTGTTCAATAAACTAGAGCATTTGTATACATACTTTAACCTTCTCCATAAGAGATTTATAATTAAAATTTCTTTGGAAGAGAGGACTAGAAAAGAAGTCCTCTCTGGAGAAAGCTAAATTTAGCAAAGTTAGACAGAAGATATAACCAAGCACCTTTGGAACTCAACTGGCTAAAAGTTGGGATCAGAGAGGTTTTAAAACAGTGTCAGTAAGGAATGCCCATAAATTCATACTTTATTTATTTCAGGGGGGAAAAAATGAGATACTTGAATACAGGTGTTTTACAATGCCACAAGATAAAAAAACAAAAGTAGCTCTTTTAAAAGAAAAATTACTAAATTATTAAAAAGTGTTAAAATTCATTTTTCTGTATTTGTACTTACAGCCAGATTTAACTTCTGTGTGAACCAGAAGCTGTTCCTTGTCCAAGTACTTCATGAAACATTTCAGATAAGCTCTGCTGTAAGTGAAATTAGGAATGGTTATACTAGATACAGTCTCATTCACGATGTTATAGTTTTCTGGAGCAATCAATTCATCATTCAATTTCCAGATGATGTGGCTTGCGTTTCTGTGAGGCAGGTGGCGTTTTCCAAGAACACAAAATCGTTTCAGAGGGGATCCTCTTTCAATTTCAGTAGATGAAGGAAAAATGTCAGCATCTCTGATAGAGTTTTCATCTAAAAACAAAATCAAAGACATGACATAGCCTAATTCATCTTAAATACCAGTGGAAAAAATGGTAAGTTATTTTGTTATCTAGGAATAATTTTTTTCTTTTTGTCAAAGGGAGCTCAAATAAAATGCTCAGTCACTCAAATCAGACACTGCTGTTTGAAAACTCAGTTCATATTAATTACCATATTAGAAGAGGTGTTACATTGGAGTGACATTTCTAAAACTTCACTGAAATAATTGGGACATTTCAACTCAGATGCTTCTAGTTCTAAGTGAAGAAAAATATGATTTTGTAAAACACTCCTATATGTCAAATATATGCATACCATTTACATGTTATCATTATTAACTACAATACCAGAAAATACATTAAACTCATAAGGTTAAAATTTATAACTAAGCTGGAATATATTTCAGTATCTCATTAGTACCTGTACACCTCCTGGAATTTATACTGCCAGATAGAGTGCAGGAATTGTAATCAAAATACATGTAAAAGAAAAACACTTAAGTAGGCTGAATGAATGAATTCAACAAAGAAGTTATCAAACAGTGCAAGAATCACCCAATAAAGTCTTGCAAAGAGCTACATGTTTTGTATTGTTTTGTTTTGCTGTTACTTATTTCTTGAAGCCAACTTTCATAAATTTGTAATTATTAAATCATTAATAAGTTTCATAAATAAATCTGTACACAAGAGGACATCAAGACTGCCATAAATTAATTTTTCTACATATACTGTACACTACTTAGTCAATCGACTTTTAAAATACACTTTTCTGTTTCAGAACTCTTCAGAATTTCATTTGGAGGACATCACCTTTTGGAAAATTTTCTTATGGCAAGATAGATGCTAATAATCAAGAAACATACCTGCTACAGAGCTGCAGAGCAGGACGAACATCCAAATCAAAGAGTTGAACATTTCCTTCTCAGTAACTACAGGCAAGAAATGCTGTCATAAAAAGAAAAAAAAATATATCCTTCTAGTAAAGATGTCCCTGTAATACTTTGTTAGTGTTTGTGTAAGAGTTAATAATGCTATTTAGCATTTCTCACTTGTATTCAAATTAATTATTGTTTTGTCTGAGTGTTATTTTCCTGCACAATGGAAGAAATTCAGTGCAGTTTTCCTAAGACATATGCACATATTTTCTACAACAAAGAGAGAGAGAAGTGTACCTAAAATACTGCTGAGGGTAATCCAATCCACCCAAGTAATTTACCTCCCAAGGATTACATAAAGAACTAGTAAGAAATATATATATATTCACTGGATATTCAGCCTGCCTAGTCATCTTCTGAGTAGATTCACTTTGTGAATTCCTTTGAAAATGAAAGCTGTTGCAGGAGAAGGAGTGATCCACTTATCTTCTGCATCACGACCTAGTAAAACAATTGTTCAGGAGGGGAACAACAGTCCAGGTCACCTTTCACCCAAAAGAGAGTGAATTCGCATTGGTTTTATCCCAGTTAAGTGCCCCTGGCAACAGATTAAAGGACACTCCACAAAGACAAAGGAAGGCGCCTCCCTTTGGCTTGCTCTTTGAAGCTGAACTACTGTGCAGCTAAAAAACCCCAAACCCTAGGGAAAGAAGGAGCAAAGCTAAGACATAGACCAATTTCTTCTAAAAGGTTCCAGAGGGAAAATTATGAAAATCAAACATGTCTTGCCTCAAGCACTGCTGTCAGCAGCCACAGAATCCCACCATGTGTGAGTTTGGAAGAGACCTCTACAGACCATCTAATCCAAACTCCCTGCTCATAAACGCCCCTAGAGCCAGCTGCCCAGGACCATGTCCAGACAGCTTTTGATGACCTCTATCGATGGAGACTGCACAAACTCTCTGGGTAACCTGCTCCAGGACTCAGTCATTCTTAACAGCTAAAAAGCCTTTCCTGATGTTCAGAGGAAACCTCCTATGTTTCAGTTTGTGCCCCCTCGTCCTGTTCCCATGACTGGAAAGAGTCTAGCTCTGTTCTTTTTGCACCCTTCTTTCAAGTACTGCTGAGATCCCCTCTGAACCTTCTCTTCTTCAGGCTAAATAGTCACAACCCTCTCAGGCTTCTCCCATATGAGAGATGCTCCCCTCCTTTAATCATTATGGTGGCCATTCATTGAAGTCTCTCCAGCACGTTTATGTCTCTCTTGTACTGTACAGTCCAGAACTGGACAAAATACTCAATGTGGCCTCAGAGGAACTGAACAGATAGGCAGGATACCTCGACCTGCTGGTTACACTCCTCCTAACACAGCCCAGGGCAGCACTAGCATTCGTCACAACAGCACATTGCTAGTTTATGTTCTACCCGGTGTCCACCAGGAGCCCCAGCGCCTTTGCTGCAAAGCTGCCCTCCACCTGGCCAGCCCCCTGTACTTTGTGGTGTCTGAGCTTGTACCTCCCCATTGAAGAATTTGGCACTTCTCCTTGTTGAACTTCATGAAGTTCCTGTCAGCCTATTTCTCCAGTTTGCCAAGGTCCCTATGGTCAGCACTCAACCCTCTGTTTTATTAGTCACACATTCCAGTTTTGTGTGATCAGCAAACTCGCTGAGGGTACACTCTTGCCAGAGCATTCTAATCTGCAGAATCACAGAATATGCCCAAGTTGGAAGGGACCCACAAGAATCATGAAGACCAATGTCTGACCCTACACAGGACCATCCCCAAGAGTCACACCATGTGCCTGGGAGTGTCATCCAAATGCTTCTCAAACTCTGTCAAGTTTGGTGCTGTGACCACTGCCCTGGGGAGACTGTTCCAGTGCCCACCCACCCTCTGAGTGAAGAACCTTTCTCTAACATCCAACCTAAAGCTCCCCTGACACAACTTCAGATCATTCCCTTTGGTCCTGTCACTGGTCACCACAGAGAAGAGATCAGTGCCTGCCCCTCCTCTTCCCCTCATGAGGAAGTTGCGACTGCAAAGAGGTCTCTCCTCAGTCTCCTCCAGGCTGAACAGACCAAGCGACCTCAGCCACTCCTCATACGGCTTCCTCTCAAGCCCCTTCACCCTCCATTGCCCCCCTTTGGATGCTCTCTAGTAGCTCTGATGCTCTCTAATCTTTCCTATATTGCAGTGCCCAAAACTGCACACAGTATTCAAGGTGAGGCTGCACCAGTGCAGATCTGAGTGAGAAAACCCAGCACATTAATGAAAATGCTGAACAGGACTAGATCCAGTATTGTCCCCTGGGGAACATCACTAGTCACTGGCCTCCAACTGGACTTCATGCCACTGATCTCCACCCTCGGGGTCCATTTGTTAAGCCAGCTTTAAATCCACCTCACTGTCTGCCCATGCAGTCCATGCTTCATCAGTTTGTCTGTAACAACTCCTGTCTGTAAAGCAGCCCAACTTCTCAGCAATCCAGACTACTCCTTTAGCCAGTAAGCAGACCTGCCAGTAGAAGATTTCAGATCCCCTTCACCAGATGAGGGCCTAGAGCTCAATATTCCTACTTACTGGACAAGGAGCTCCAGCTACTATGTTAATAAGCAAAAGGTGGGCATTACCATTGCTGCAGCTAGTTAGGGTCCCTGTTTCATGTTAGGTTTTCGTATTAATCTGGAATTTCAGCTCTCCATGCAAACCTGTATCTCCGGAAGGCTCTAGGTGGGAGGCAAGTCCTATTTCCCTAAAACAGATAAACCAGCAGCTTTCAGGCAGAACAAGGTATCTCCTCCTCCCACAGGTTCAGACAATGATAGGAAGCAGTTGAGCACCAGGTCACCATTAAGGACAGAGTGGGATATAGGCAGAGGGAGTTATGTCCTATGTTATGGTTTCTTATACAAAAACTTTGGCTTATTAAAAATTGTCTTCAGTAATCTGAAAGACAAAACCATAGTGAAAACAATGATTTGTGCTCAGTTTCTCTCAGAACTCATCTTGAATACTATTTTCAGTTTTTCTTGGAAAGCATTTTATAAACTTTGAGGCTATGACAGTATGAAACAGGAGGAACAAAGTTAAAAGGACAATGGGATAAAAAGAAAAATGAGGGAAGAGTTTGCTCAGGGACACACTCCAAAAAAACCAGCAGTAGCAAGATGTGTTCCAACAGGAAACAAAGCCAGTACATAAAGAGAATCTATTACTACTTCAGTTGCCTAGGATGTATGTTCTTATTCTTAAAGCAGTAGACAGGTTACACTATTGATGTCAATAAAAAAAAAAAAGAACCTTTAGCAATTGTTCCAAGTATTCTGCATCAGCATACCTACAGAAACCTTTCTCATTGCCCCTGATGTTCCTGGCCAGATTTAATTCTATCAAGGCTTTAGTTTTCCTCACCTGATCCATGGCCGCTCACTGTATTTCACCCAGGCTACCTGTCCCTGCTTCTACCCTCTGTAGACTTCCTTTCTGTGCTTGTGTTTGTCTGGGAGTGTCTTGTTAATCCAAGCAGGCCTCACAGTGTTTCTGCCTGACTTCCTCTTTGCTGGGATGCATTGCTCCTTAGTTTGAAGAAAATGATCCTTGAATATCATTCCAGCTCTCTTGGGCCCCTCTTCCCTCCACAGCTTTATCCCATGGTACTCTACCAGGCAGATTCCTGAAGAAGCCAAATTCTGCTCCCCTTAAGTCCAGGGTAATGAGCCTAGTGTCCTTGCTGCCTTAAGGATTTTCAACTTGAGCATTTCACAGCTGCCAAGACTGCCCTTGAACTTCACCTTTCTACCAGTCCTTCTTTGCTGGTGAGAACAAAGTACAGCACAGAATCTCTCCTCACTGGCTTCTCTGTCACTTGGGTCCCCTACTTTGTTGTCCCTCCAACACATGTTGGGGTGTTTAAGTTCCCCATGAGGACCAGGACACACGAACATGAGGCTGTTCTCATCTGTCTGCAGAGAGCCTCATCCACTTGGTCTTCCTGCCCTATAGCAGACTCCCACTATAATGTTCCCTGTCCCTGTCCACTCTTAAATCCTGGCCCATAAGCTCTTGTTTGGCTCATCCATCCCCTGGAGGAGCTTCATGCTCTCCAGCTGATCACTGACATACAGGACAACACTGCCTCCTCAACTCCCCTGCCTGTCCTTCCTAAAGAGCCATTTCAACACTCCAGTCATAGGAACCATCCCGCTGCATCTCCATGATGTCCAAAGATCACAGCCCTGCAGGCGTGTGGTACATATCTAACTCCTCTTGTTTTTCCCCACAATAAAATTTCTGCTGATATTCTGCATATTCTCGTTTGCTGTTTTTGAGGGTACATGAATCAGAAGAGGCTGCATTTCAGCCAAAATAGTTCAGCTGTTTTCAAGAATAAAGACAACATTTCTTCATCATATTCCTTTAATTAGCTCCAGAAATCCCACACTTTTTTAGCCAGGAATTGGAACTCAGAAGCACTGGGAAATCATGAAAACATTTTTGAATTATCCTTGTGCCAAAAATAGTGCATACCACCACATATCCCACTGCTCCACAGTGGAGCACAGCGCTAAAAGAACAGGCATAGCAAATTTGGCTGTGATGCCAATTTAGAAGCCCTTGAGAAAATTCTGATTTCACACGTTCACCAGAAAGATTAAACAAAGATCCCTACCACACTCAGTGGATGCTCCTCACCCTGTAACAACAGCTACCTTTCCCCCCTTCTTCTAGTGCTCCTCTAGTGTCCTACTTACCACACAGTAAGTCACTTCCACATGCCAAAATAGCAGAACATTAAGAACAGAAAGAATTTGTGCTAAGTTAGCAAATGTAAGCAACTTGCTTACATGATTAGACAGTCATCTTAGCTGGTGAAATAAAGCAGAGGACTGGGGAGAGAGACCTCCATAACATTCTCTTCCTAACTGTGAGCTATTAATTTAGTTCAGTCCTCCTGCTTCCACTTTCTCCAGTACCAATTAGCAGCTGTTTATTTGACATGCCAGCTGCTAGTTACTACCTGCAAGAAACCAGGGTAGTGACTCAGCAGGTTACAATGCTGCTTGAGTCTC